TGAATCAAAGATGGCAAAAGAGAAGGAGATACAGTATCTGATCCTAAAGAAACAACCAACTTACCTAGACCCAGTGGAGGCCCTAAAGAAGACAGTGAAGCTGAACCAAATTAAACGGGAAGACCAGCTATTCTCTTATATGTGAGATGGCCAAAGATGGGTCTTGTCAAAGTCTGAAGTGATGAGTACAGTAAAAGAAATATGGAAACGAAATGGTTCTGAAGGTCCCACTGGCCACTTGTTTGGAGTAGGTGGAGTGTCTCTGCTTCATTATCACGGATCATCAGTTGATGCGATAAAATTACAAGGTAGATGGGTAGGAAACTTGTATAAACATTACATAAAGTTATATTTGCAAGAAGTTCAAAGAGATACAGTCAAAACCTTAAGGAGATTCAAGAAACCCGACTGAACTGAGGTAGTTTTAACGTTTGCAATGAAAGAACAAGGCTGTACATATGTGCATCAATACAGGCTGAGGCTCAAGCATCTCTCCAGAGGCTGCAGATAAAAAAGAAGTGAGACACAAGAGAAATGTAAAACACTAACAGATTCATAAGTTAATGGCAGGAAAGGGCCAGAGGAACCAATTTCAGAGGTAGGGGAGCTTGTCAGAACTCTGAACACGCTACTTATTCCCAGAGAGAGGGGTCTGACAGCACCTCTTCTCAGCATTTGGTGAATCCCCCCCTGCTGGCCTCTCTGTAACCTGCTAGGTTCCTAAAGGGATACAGATCCCTTGGGCCTAGTTGAGGCTGGGGGAGACTTATCTACATGAACTAGTAGGGACGGGAGTGGAGGGATTAGAATGTAGATCCCAATGCTACAGTCCCCACCCCGAGCAGAGCACAAGCTCCAAACACACATATTCAAATAGAGGAGTAGACAACATGGGCAACCCACCCATGTAAATTTGGGGAAGTGTCAAACTGGGGAATCAAGGTTGCAAGGGCTTGGCCCATGGTGGTGGTGTTCAATGTTTTATTGGCATTGATGCAATACAGACACTCAGAGAGGTGAAAAGAGTCAATAATTTGCTTGAGAAGAGCAGCCAAGTTGGAGCCGGTGTGAGGCACTTTGATCGGCTTCAAAGCCAGAGTGATACCATGGAGCTGATAGTAGTCAGAGATCCAGTGTGCTGTTACACCAAGAATTGCAAGGTTGGTGGGAGACATCCATCTGCCACAAGTGATACTAAAATGTCCAATGGAAGAGAGGAGTTTCATGATTGCAGCTTGTTTGGCTTTGGAAGCGTCCAATATGCCATCCAAGATGGCAGTCCATTTCAATAATACAGTGTGAGCCGCGCGGTTGATCATGTTGATGATCTTGTGGACCTCCTTACCGTTGAAAAACAAGACTGGTACATCTTGGTTGACAACCAGGAGGATCAATGCAACCTTGAGGATGGCTCTATTGAGAGGTCTGACCTGAGGGAAAGTAGATTGAAGAGAAAACTCCAAATCAAAAAGTTGGAAAAGGACAAGAATAAAGAGAAATGAAAACTTAGAAACAAGCAGAGAAAGCAAAAAAATAATCACTTGGACAGGCTCACCATTGATATAGAAGGCCAAAACAGTGGGTTGATTGGTTTGAACAGGAGGTTCAATCTGATGTGCTTGGGAAAGATGTTGGCTCATTGATTTGCTGCTGCTGTTCTTGTCAACAGCAAGAGGTTTGTTGCATATGGCAGTTGGCATCTCAGCAGTGTTAGTTGTAGAGTCAATGAAACCCTCTTGGGCTTGGTAGATGGTCTTGAGGACGTTGTTGACTCCTTTGGTGACAAAGTACTGCCACACCCAAGATGAACAGGAGGTGGCCGTGGGTAACGCATCGACCCGGGACTGGGGCCACCGGGCCGGGACCGGTGACGGGCCGGGCCCAGGTTTTCACGGCCTCCTCAAAATGCTGAGGAGACCGGAAGTAGTGTGCTCACGAGCCGCCGAAAGGGCCCGACCCAAAGGGGCCCGGCAGGTGGGAGCGATGTGAGAGCAGGAAAAAGCGAGCTGAAGAGCTCAGCAAAGTCAGTAAGCAGCGGAACGAGTCAAAGTGACTGAGTGGGGATGTTGTTTATTGCTCCGAATACTGTAGTGTAGATACAATAAATGTAGATCACATGATTTTTTTGGAGTTCATTATTTTATTGATGAATTTATTGAAGCTCTTGAGGCAAACCACTGCTTCAAGGGTTTGAGTTTTCATCGAACTACGAAGGTCGGTAATTGTCCTACCTGCAGTGGAGAACTCACGCTCGGTAGGAGTACTGGTGGCTGGAATAGCAAGGAAGATGTGTGCCATCTTGGAAAGAATCGGAAATTTGTGACCCTCGTTTTGCCAATACTTAAGTGGGGTGTAAGTTTCGTCCTCTCGCTCGGTCGAGAGATAAGTTTGAAGCTCGGCCTTGATGCCTTGAGCTTTCTTTTTAGTGACAAAAGATCGAGGACGATCTTCAGGTGGCGGTCCAGATTCTTCATTGTTTACTACGGGCACATCGACATGAAATTTTTTACACTCGTTCAAGAAGAGTGTCTTCCAATCATCCCGATGATCGAGTCCAGCAAGCGCTAGAGTTGTATCGCTTAACTCTTGATCCTTGCTGCGTGGGTCAAGAATCAGAGCACAGAGATAAACAGGTTTCACAAGGACTTTTTTGTAATATGTTTCGGCCTTCGTTTTCATTGGTTGAATGGCTTGTCGGAGCTCTTGAGCCTTGTAGTTACACCAGCTCTATCAAAATATGAGCAAAGTCAACATTGTGAGACAGAATAAGAAGATTATCAAAAACCAACGTACCGAGTTCAATTTCTTAATGATCCATTCATATACTGGAATTACATCTCCAAGGCTTGGGTATTTGCTTGCTGAAAGATCCTTTGTAGCAGACTCGAACGGCTCCAGGAATTCAATGAGATGGCCAATGAGCTTCCACTCGTCATCTGACAGAGCATATGGACTATATTCAGGATTGTTTCGGCATTTTGTGTCAATTGAAACACGTAATTGGTGTGCTCGGCGATAACAGTCTAGGTCAGAGTTCCATCTTGTGTCGACATTTCGGACGAGGTTGAGTTGATAGCCTAAGTCAGCCTCAACTTGCTTGAGAAATGACTGTAAGCGCTGCGGCGACTTGTAGATCCAAGCAATAAGCTTGAGGAGTCAAGTGAGAACTGAGTTGACATCCGAGGTTTGAATCGGTTCCAGGAGAATAGCAAGATCGCGTGGTACTGGACCATCTTCACCGAGTTTTCTGGCAAATGTTTTGAGTCCGTCTCGAGCAATGAGGTTTATGACATGGGCAACACATCCAAGGAGATTTTGGTCTCGGTTGAAGTTTGGACAGACTCTTTCGAGAGCATCGGCCATTGTACCGTTTGAGCTAGCGTTATCAGCAACAATACAGAAGACCTTATCAAGTAGGCCATACTCTTCAAAGACCGGAATGAGATGATTGGCTAGGTTGATACCGGTATGCTCGCCATCAATCTCTTTGAGACAGAGTATGGCCTCTTGCAGTTGGAAACTTTCATCAATCCAGTGAACTGTGGCACCCAAGATTGATTTGCGATTTGGGGATGTCCAAGCGTCGCAGGTGATGCTCACCGCGGTTTGATTTTGAAAGATCTCCTTCATCACTACCTTCATTTCAACCAAAGTCTTTCGTACAGCATCTGCAAGAGCATCGGCGCCAACTAGGAACGGCGAGACTGCAGGGTTACACATTTCAAGTAGCTCTCGTAGTTCTGGAGGTTCGACAAAGTTGAAAGGTAGCTCCTTCATGAAAATGAGGCAAAGTAGCTTAGTCTTGAGATTCTCGCGAGTGAGTTTAGGGATCTAGGATTGAAATACTCAGCCAGAGAACAAACAAAGATGACAGTCAATACAAGAAAGTCAACATACATTCTGGAGGTTCCCATTGGTGGTATAGCTCTTCATTGATCCACGCTCAACTACGGTGCTTTCGTAAATTTGATGACGGCGTTCCAAATGGCGCGCCATCGACTTTGTGCTGCAGGATTTATCCGGTTTCAGTGAAAGTCCACAGATTCTACCTCCTGCGGTTGGAATAGTTGCTTGACATATGTTTGATATTTCTTTTGAAACATCATCACGTTCAGTCTTGAAATGCTGCCAGACCCAAGAGGACTTGTGTGAGTTGTCGATCTCGGTTTTTTTGCGTGGAGGTGCTGGTGTTTTAGAGCTTTGGGTGGTCTTGGCTTTTGTTGGAGAGTCGGTGATTATGATTGCGCTGCCATCAGAGACGCGAGGGCGTTTAGAGGCCATAATTAATCGATGCAGAGGTGAGCAAAAGGTCAATCCTCTCAATGCTGAGCCACACAGCATCGAAAATTTTTTTTACGCCATTTACGCCCGGGCCGGGTCGAGCGGGCCAGGGCAAAAAGGAGGCCCGAATCGGCCTGCATTCTGAGAGCCGGGTCGGGCCGGGTCGATGCCTTAGCCGTGGGATCAGAGGCAACTTCGGAGATCAAATCAGACAGAACTAGACTGGAAGTTGACGTCATTGAGTGCTGTAATGTCGAGGCAGACCTGGTCACGGGGGTTGGCATGTGTACATCATTGAGCGCTGTAATGTCAAGGCTCAGGATGGGGGCACAGCCTCAAAAAAAAGGCGCGCCCTGGCACGTTATTGTGAAAGACTTGAAATGGATTTTATAAGAAAATAAACACAAGGAAAGCCCCACTTTCGCACTATGAGGCATACAGGCCTTTGGGTGTGACCATCTCCTTTTCAAGATGTTTAGGTGCGCCCTACGCCTAGGCGCCTGGCGCGCGCCTTAGTGCGTTATTTTTTTTGCGCCCCCATCCTGACCTGCGCAATGTGGATTTCAGCAGACTTCTTGGGATTCCAGATTTGTTTTGTAAAATAAGAATCAAATAAAAAAGTAAAGCCTTTGAACACCAAGAGTAAATTGAGGTGAAAGAGAAGAAAAACAAAGAAATTCAAAAAAATCTCGAGTTTGTGAAGTCCTCTCCTCTAGGCTCTACTTTGTAGGCAAAGGAAATTTCAAACCATTCAACTTTTCCCAACCATAAAGAAATCTTGATAAGATCACCGACGAAAAGGTGTTCCTTCCATCCTTCCACATCAGATATGCCAGAATCTGGTCTGGATTCGATTCCCAATAACCACGAGCTTCTTTATAGTATTTGAGATTAAGAACGACGTCAAGATTCACGTATTGAAATTCAGCCATGGAGCTCTCCAAATAATCCCACCCCCCACGTATAATGTCTTGGTTACCTTGGCGTTCTATATGATCATAATTTTGGAGCAGAAATGCCAAAAATGCGGTTGTCAGTTTTGATTGAGCAAAACTAAGTGCTCTTTTTATATCATCAGGCGTTATTCCAATCATTTGCTTTTCTTGGATTCTCGCGATTAAAATACTCTTCATATCATCAAACCATTTTGCAATCTTTGCCCGAAGTTTAGGCCGGATCCATAGTTCTTGTCTTCCTGAATTGTGCAATCTGGGCATATTGTTGTGTAATGCAATATAAGATCTACGACTAGCGGGGGCAATGAAAGCCACATGCTCTCCTCTGGGTGGGGGGGATGCATCGACCCCAATTCTGAATGTTTCTGAAATTACATTCTCTTCCGGTACTCTTGACATTTGGACGGGATGACTTTCAAAAGTAGGAGGTTCGATAATTGAGTGATGTTGATATTGCATGAGATTTGCGAAGTGTTCTGCAGCTGGTTCACGTGTTGAAGGGCCTTGAACCGAGTTTGATGCTGAAGCGTGCAATGTTGATAAGCTATGAGCTGAAACTTCATGGGTTTGTAAATATCTTGAGTCAGTGTCCTGAAGGTCTTGGCCTGAAAAAGTGGACGGTAGAGCTTGATACATCGGATTGTTATTGGATATGATATTGTGATGACTTCCTCGCATCTGCGACGCGGGCTTTGTGAGCTGTGAGTTTTGGTGCTCGAGCCACATTTCAAAATCTGGTGTGATTCTAAGGTATTGCCTTTGTCGAGCTGATTGTTTGAACGGATCTATCTTTTGAATTCCTAATGCCCCAGAAAGTCGAAGTTTTCCTGGTGATACGATTTTGGTTGCGATTCCAGATGATGGTGCGAGTGTCAGGTCCAGAGGATCTATTTCGGGTGCAGGTGACGAGTCCGAAGAACTCATTGCGGGTGCAAGTGTCAATTCCAATGAGTCTATTTTGTCAAGTTTTGATATCGCGATGGTCCCAGGTTCTGATGTTCCTAATCTTAATGCAGTATCTAGATCTCCATTCAGATTCATTGGGGTTGCCAAGACTGTGCTAATAGTCATGAAAACTATACTTGTAGTCAACCATAATATTAATGATGGGTACATTCTTGCGTGATGCTGCCGAATCGGTGACTGCATCAAAAAAGCTGTGCTTGATCGCGATAGCGAGATTACAATGCGAAGCTCTAAAATTGATGGTCCCGTCTCCCAGCAGCTCCCAGCTCACTGATGACGTGAAGTTTAGAAACCTTTCCAAATGTGGCGGATTTACTAGAATGTTTGAATGTCACTAACACCTGAAACCGTATCCTCACATCGCATAGCACCATAGCTGGTGTATGTATCAGATACATTAGAAACTAGCAGCAACTATGTAGGTAAGGGAGTGACTGGATGATGTCACCAACAAACTACGATAAGCTGGCCTCGCAAATACAGCAATGATAAGAAAGAAAGAAATTCTGTTCAAGAATCCTTATCAATGTTTATCACAAATAAGGGCGTAATATCTGAAAAGAGTGGATGTCATTGTTGGGATCCAGCGAGCAAAAATTCATGATGTAGAGATTGTTAAATATATGAGATGACAAGTTGTTATCATGATACAGCTGGCGAGAGTTTCGACTTAGCTTCTTGAGTACTTCACCGTTTATGTTAAACTGCTAGCATATGACGAGGTCAGGCTATTCTCTCTTACTTCTAGCCTCGATCAATAGACCATTTGCTGTGAACTTGAACAGAATAACACCGATAAAGGTGAACTTAGTTCACTCGAAGCATTCTACACCTAATGGGCTTTGGCATTTGAAACTTCGGAGTGATTTAAAACACACATCGAAAGTCTTGGATGGAGCGCTCCAGAACTGTGTGGGGCTTGCACATACATACAAGGGTTTCTCAGTCACTCTGGGTCGCGAGGGTGGACTAAGGGACTTTTCAGAGTAGCTCATGGCCAATGTGAATTTTGAAAAATGCCTGAAATTTCATGTTCCCTTCATAAGGTAAGAAGGTGTAACTTGAAAAAGGTGAAGGATTCGATCAGGAAGAGCAAATTGAGGTGAACAATGTCAAGAAGAAGAACAGATTAACTCAAAGAACACCTCGGCATTGTGAAATCCTCTAGCAAAGAAAAAAATTTATCTTCCATTCAATTTTTTCCAGCCAAAAATAAACTTTGATAGGACCTCAGATGACAAGGTAATCCTTCCATCTACCCACATCAGATACGCCAAAGTGTGGGTTGGAGTCCATGATCGGACACCATCATCTACTTGAATGTGTTGGAGGTCGACAACGGCTTCAAGATCAACAACTTTCCATTGAATCATGTAGCTCTTCATATATTCCCACCCCTGACGTAGAAGTTCTTCATTGCTTTTTCCTTTGATCTCGTAATGGCTAACCAGAAATCCAAAGAATGCGGCCGTCAATTTCAAGTGAGCAAAACCAAGTGCTCTTCTGATATCGATGGGTTTTATACGAATGATTCTATCTTGGTGGATTCTTTCTTTTAAAAAAGCTTCCAAATTATCAAACCATGTTGCAATCTCTCCCCTCATTCTATCAAATACCCAAAGTTCATCTTTTCCTAATGTTGATAGCTTGGGCATATTTCTAGGTATCACTCGGTAAAATTTACGCCTCTTGGGGACAATTAAAGCCTCCTTTGTCCCTCCGGACGGGAGTGATTCTTCGTATCCACTTCTAAATTTTCCAGAAACTCCTTTCTCCTGCGAAGCTCTTGACATTTGGATAGGATGACTTTCAAGATTATTTGCAAAGTTTTCTGCAGACTGGTCACGTGTGGGAAAACCTTGCAAAGAATTTGACCCTGAACCTAATCTCGGTAAGTTATGAGTTGGAACTCCGTGAATTTGTAGATTTCTTGAACCAGAGTCCTGTGGATTATGCGCTGGAAAACTAGATGATGAAGCTTCAAACATCAAATTGTCATAGGGCATAATGCTGTGCTTAATTCCTAGTAGATGCGACGCTGGCTCTGTGATCTGATCCTGTACGTTTTGGTCCTTCAGCCACATTTCAACATCTGATGAGATCCTAGAGTGTTGTTTTTCTTGGAATGGGTTTTTAAATATATGTGTCTTTTGAATTCCCAATGCGCTAGACAGTTGATTTTGTTTTGATGGTACCATTTTTTTTGTAGTTCCAGATGGTGGTGCAAGTGACAAGTCCAAAGAACCTAATTCCGCTGCACGTTTTGACTCCAATAAACCTATCTCGTCAAGGTTTGATTTCGCAATGTTTCCAGGGGTTGATGTTCCTAATCTTAATGCAGTGTCTAGATGTTCATTCAGATTCATCGAGGTTGTCTTGAGTGGGCAAATGGTCATGAAAACGATACTTGTAGTCGCGCATAATGAATGGTACATTCTAGTATGATTCTGTGGATTCGGCGAAGTTATAGGTGTGCTTGATCGCGAAGTTCTCAGGATGATAACCCCGGCTCCCAACTAACTGATGACAGACAGTTCAAAAACCTTTCTATGTATGTCGGATTTAGCTGCTTGTTTCAGCCCATACCAAGGCTCACGAGATTTTCGCCAGTGAATTTTACTAACTCCTGAAACTCCTCATTGCATAGGACAATAGCGCGGGTGTATCAGATACCTGGATTAGAACCTAGCACTGGCAGATACTTAGTAAGGGAGTAACTCGATGAATTCCCTAACAAAGTATGATAATATGGCTTGGCAAAGACAGCCATTAGCAGACATGATGAGAAGACGAAAATGCATTCCGCTCGAAAATTCCCATCCATGCTCATCGCAAATAAGGGTGTAAAGTTTGAAAGGACTGAATCTTAGGATCCAGTGAGCACAAATTTAGAATGTAGAAATTGTTGATGATAATGATATTGACATGATAAGGAGTCAGCATTTCAAGAATTTAACTGTTGTTTCTTGAACATTTGCGCGTATGTGTTCATTTGTGAGCATATGTTGAGGTCATATCAGGCTTTTGTTTATCACTTCTAGCCTGGACGATTGGACCGCTTGCTATGAACTTCAATATGAACACACTGGGTAAGGGCGAGCTTACCTCACTCGAAGCATTTCACGTTCTAGTAGGCTGTGAGGGACCTCTTGGAACTACAAAGTGATTTAAAACCACACATCAAAATTCGTGGAGGGAGCGCTGCAGAATTGTGTGAGACTTGACACCTGTGCAGGGCTATCTCAGTCGCCCCGAGTTGCGCGGGTGACGGACTTGGTTGAGATTAGCTCCTGGGCAATGTGAATTTTGGCGAATTGCACGAGATTTCATACATCTTTTAAATAAGAAGGTCCAAATTAAAAAGAAAGGGAATCGGTCACGGACAGCAGATTAAATTGGACGAGAAGCAGAACAGACTAATTCAACATAACATCTCGACTTTCTGAAGTCCTCCAGCCAGGAAAAAAATTATAATGCATTCGATTTGTCCCAGCCAAAAACAAACTTTGATAGGACCTCAGGAGGACAGGGCTTCCTTCCATCTACCGACATCAAATATGCTAGGAGGTGGGCTGGAGTCCATGCCCCGACATAGCTTTCCACTTGAATGCCTTGGAGGTTGAGAACGACTTCAAGATTGACACTTTCCCATTGAACCATGTAGCTCTTCAGATATTCCCACCCCCGACTTAGAAGTTCTTCATTGTTTTTACCTTTCATTTGGTAATCTCTAACCAGATATCCAAGAAATGCGGTTGTCAATCTCCGGTGGGCGACATTGAGTGCTTTTCTGATGATATCAGTTGGTACTATTCGAATAAGTTCATCTTCTTTGATCCTTTTTTTTAAAGTACCTTCCATCTGTTTAAACCACCTGGAAATCTCTGTCTTGAGTCGATCATGTGCCCAAAGTTCCTGTCTTCCTCTTGTTGAAAGATTGGATGTATTGCTAAGTATTGTTCTGTAAGCTCTTCGACTATTGGAAACGGTTGAAGCCTCATTTTGGCCTCCGATTGGGAGGGATTCTTTAGATCCACTTTTAGATGTTCCTGAGATTTTCTTCTCCTCTGGAACCTTTGAGGTGGGATTAAATTTGGAAAAACGAGGTTTAATGATTGAACGATGATGATCTTGCACCATATTTTCGAAATTCACTGCAAATGGGTCAAGGGTGGAGCCTTGGAGAGAATTCGCATAAAACCTTGGTAAGCTACGAGTCGAAACTTCATGGATTTGTGAATTTCTCGAAACAGACTCCTGAAAATTATGTGCTGAAAGCCTGGATGGTGAAGCTTCAAACACCAGATTGTTATAGGGGATGATACTCTGAAGATTTTCTAGTAGATGTGACACTGGCTTTATGGGCTGTACGGTTTGGTCCTCCAGCCACATTTCAACATCTGGTGAGATCCTAAAGCGTTGTTTTCGTTGAGATGAATGTTTAAATGAATCTGTCTTTTGAATTCCCAATACCCCAGAAAGTCCATGTTGTTTTGGTGGTACGATGTTCGTTGCGGTTCCCGATGGTGCTGCGAGTGTTAATTCCAAAGAAACCATTTCGGCTGCAAGTTTTGAGTCCAATGGATCGATTTTGTCAAGTTTTGATATCACAATGGTCCCAGGGTATAGTGTTCCTAATCTTAGTACAGTGTCTACGTTTCTATCCAGATCCACTGGGGTTGTCAAGACTGTACACATGGTCATGAGAGCTATACTTGCAGTGGAGCATAATGAATGGTACATTCTTGTGTAATGCTGTTGGATCGGCGAATTCGTAGTTGTGCTTGAACGGGATGTGATATTGAGATTTGAGCGCGAAGCTCCCAAGATGATAGTCCCTCGTGAATCCCAGCTACCTGATTTGTGCATGCAGTTCAAAAACCTTCTGGGATCTGGTGGATTTAGCTGGCTGTTTCAGTCCATAGTCACAAGCTTTCTGTATCAGACACCTGGACTAAGGCTAGCAGCAACTTAGTAAGGGAGTAACTCGATAAGTTCATTAACAAACTATGATATGATAGCATCACAAAGAAAGCCATCGGCAGCCATGATGCCACCGCTCAAGGGTTCTCATCAATGTTCATCGCAAAAAAGGGTGCAAATTTTGAAAATACTGAATGTTGAGATCCAGAGAGCAAAAGTTTATACTGTGGAGATTGTTGAATATTCATGAGATGATGAGTTGCCATCATGTAAGGGCTCGGGTGTACCTTCGAAAGGCTCATTTAGCCTTTGTAGGCACGTATTCGAGTGAGGAGAAATACTTTAATAATTCGATAAGAGAAAAAGAAACATAACTGTGTACAAGTGTAACATATATATACTAAACACATAAAACATCTAACAATTCTTCTTGATCCTTCTAAATCAAATTCCTGACAACATTCTTCGTACATAACTTGTTGTCTTAACAACATTTGATAAAAAGATAAAGAAAAATAACACAACATATTTCCAATCATTACAATAATGATTACCGTCTGGTCTAAACAATATTTATCTTATCACACAAAAAAAATTTTCTAAAACGTCAAAGCTGCTTTATATCCTACTTCAAAACGCTCCCAAGTGACTGAAGGTGGAGTTGGAAATTGAGGATATTTATGATGAAAAGTGAGAATGAATAAATCTAAATCTGATGACATATTTGTTAATGGTATCCATGTATCATCCGAAACTGGTCTTCCTGCCCATCTTATTAAATATTCGGGTGAAGCCTTTCCTCTCTTTCTATAATCTATTATTCCCGAAACTTGTCTCCAATCTTTGATGGGAACTACAGGGGCAGAATCAGAAAAATTGTGAGTTACTGTCATTCTTCCGCCTACAGAAGGCTCTATATATTTTGAAATCAGGGATATATTGAAAACAGGATGAAGTCGAGAATAAGAACTCCCCAAATTCAACCTAACCGCATTCTTTCCCACCATTTCTTCTACCCTAAATGGTCCTATTCTCCTATGATCCAATTTCTGCGAAGGTCGAAAACTCGTAATGTTCTGTCTCGACAACCAAACTAAATCTCCTTTTGAATAAGTTTGAGCTGGTCTTCTATGCGCATCGTAGAATTTCGCCTGCTGCTCCTTCGCATGCTTTAAAGATATTAACAGATTAAGGTGAGTTGCTTCCAGATGTTCTACAAACTGATCAGCATGAGGTACTCGCGATATCTCCGTAAAGCTATTTGCCCTGGGATGAAATCCTTGCCACGCAAAAAACAGCGAAAATTTTGTTGAAGATGATGGAGTGTTATTGAAGCAGAATTCCGCCATTGGTAGCCACTCGCTCCAATCGTCCTGTCGATAACTAATGAAATGCCTAAGATAGGATTCTAACGTCTGATTAGTTCTCTCTGTTTGACCATTTGTTTGTGGATGGAAAGCAGTGGAAGGAGCTGATTTTATTCGTAATTGCGATTGCACTTCTTTCCAAAATGTGGAAACGAAAGTAGAACCTCTATCGCTTACAATCTTGTCTGGATATCCATGATATCGAAAGAACTGCGAAATAAAAAGAGATGCCAATTGTGGCGCATTCATCGACTCCTTGCACGGTATAAAATGTGCACCTTTGGAGAAATAATCCGTAATCACAAGAATAGAATCAAAACCTGAAGAATTTGGTAATTTGACTATAAAATCCATCCCGATAGTACTCCATGGTCTATCCGGAACAGCCGACGAGATCAACTCCCCTTGAGGAGACTGCGTAGATCTCTTAATCCTCTGACACGAGTCACAACTTTTGATGAAATTAATAACATCTTCTCTAATGGTTTTCCATCCATATGTCCTGGTGACTAAGCTTAGCATATGTGCTATCCCAGGATGGCCCATCAAAGGAGTATCATGAAATGATGAAAGAAGGTGTAACCTTAACGAAGCAGGTACATATAACCTGTCGCGAAACCACCATAGCCCTCCACGAAGAGAAAAAAAAGAGGAAGGACTTTCTAACTCCTCAACTCCTGCATAAGATTTAATAAGCATCTCACGAGTTTCAGGAGAAGGGATTATAAAAGAAGTATCAATGGAACAAACAGTTACCCCCTCCTTTATCATATAAGGCTTGAGTAATGTCATTCAAGAAGAATCCGAAAAAGACTCCTCATAATCAGGTCGTCTAGAAAGAGGATCCGCCGGATTCGTCTTTCCAGGAGTATGTAGAATTTGAAAGTGAAATTGCGTCAGATAAGATGCCCATCGAGCCTGTCGAGGCGTCAGCTTCTGCGACGTCATGAAGTAACACAGATTAGCATGATCTGAAAAAACGGAGACTGGAGTATCCGTTCCTGTCAGCCAAGCTCTCCATTCGCCAAAAGACTCAACAATAACTCCTAATTCTTGGTCATGGACTTGCCAATTCCTTTCGGAAGGTGTCAACTTGCGAGAAAAAAATGAGACCAGCAGAAGATTTCCTTTATCATCCGGCTGTGATAAAATGGCAGCCATGGCGAATCCAGAACAGTCCACTTGTAACGCTCTTGGCCTATCAAAGTCAAAATGAGATAATAACGGAGCCGTTGTAAAAGATTTAAGTAAAAGATGAAATGCTGAAATACACTCAGCAGAAGCAAGACCCTGGACCACATTCACACCTGCACGAGTTAGAGAAGTTAAAGGAGCTGAAATGGAGGAGAAATGATGAATAAATCTGCGATAAAAATTCGTAAAACCTAAAAACCGAAATAATTGTTTTGAGTTAGTAGGGTAAGGCCAATCTGCAATCGTACTTAATTTCTTTGGGTCCATTCTTAAACCATTCTCGGAAATAACAAAACCCAAAAAAGTAACTTCATTTTCATAAAATTGACATTTGTCGGGAGAAACAGAAAGCTTATGATCTTGAAGACGTTGTAGTACTTGCTCTACATGAATAGTATGTTCATCATAAGTCTTGGAAAAAATGAGAATATCGTCAATATACACAAAGCAAGAAACACCTAAAAATTCAGATAAAACGGATTGAATAAAGCGTTGAAAACAAGCTGGACCATTTGCGAGGCCAAAGGGCATTACAAGACATTCAAATAATCCCCAAGGAGTACGAAACACTGTTTTCCACTCATCCCCTTCCTTGATTCGAATAAAGTTGAAAGCAGACTTCAGATCTAATTTAGTAAAAAACTTGCAACCAGTAATCCTGGTTAAAAGATCCCCAAGTAAAGGGATGGGAAAACTGTCACGGACAGTGATTGAATTAAGAGACCGATAATCCACACAAGGCCTGTTCTTCTTGCCCGGTACTTTAACAAAAAAAATCGGTGACGCGGCTGATGACGAAGAGGGCCTAATGTTGCCTTGTTCCAACTGTGTGTCAATCCATTCCTTTAGTTCACTTTGTTCCAACTTAGCCAACAAATATGACCCACCGAAAGTAGGCACTGCCCCCGGCTTCAAGTTGATAGACATATCAAACCCTTCTCGATGCGGCGGTAGTAAAGACCCACCCTGTTTAGGAGTGAATACATTAGCATACTTGGCAAATTGAGGTGGAAGCGAAAAAGGGGGTGAAGATGGAGTGAGGGATAATGAAGATGAGACAGCAGTTGCAGATTTGGAGTGCAGTTGAGGGGAAAAACGGTGACCAGTCTGAAAAGGTTGAAAAATTGAAGAACTCGGACGGGACAAAACAGGGGAGTATTCACCATGGGACAATTTTCCATGAACAGAAATGGGTTGTTCCAACTTCAAAGTCGGACCCACACCCCCAACCCATCCATCATGATGCTTTAACCAGTCAACACCTAGGATAATGTCATAACCTCCAAGAGTCGTTATGTCGAGAGAGATATTCGATTGAAATTGATGGTTTTCGTGTAATCCTTGAAGAAATAAATGACCTTCCCACTCGTGCGTGACCACACTATCCTTTCCGCTGGAGCCGTCAAACGTAACACAAGTGATCGGAAAAGGTCGAATCTTTGGGATAAGGTGATGTTTCTGAACTAATGATCTATCCAAAAAACTTCGAGAGGCTCCAGAATCAACCAGTGCTCGAGCTGGAGAAAACTTCTTCCCACAGCTGAGTAAAACCGATAGAATTAAACGAGAGTCGTTGCCTCCCTCACCATGGAAGGCAAGAGCAGAAATTTGCTCATTTCGACCGGCACCTTCTTCACTGAACATTGGTTGAGCCGAAAAGTACTCATCCTCATTACCCCCATGACTAAAATCTTCCGGTTGCTCCACACTCCTATATTCGTGAAATAAAGCCGCAACACCCGCAGTGGGATTTGGTTGAGAAACAGCCGGAACCGTGGATTCGGAAGCTAACGATGGAGATTGGGATGGTAAAGGTGGGAAAGAAGACAAAAGACCCGGTCTAATAGCCGCAGGAGTTTGTTGAAATCCAAAATTTATACTTTGACGAGGTAAAACCGAAGGCGTCATTAGCAAACGAGAAGTCGGAACTCTGTGATGGTTAGAGCGTTGATTGCCATGAGTAGTAGGCACCGTCATAGCCACCGCCGAAACTGATGAGGGATTACGTTGGGCTTCCAAGACAAAAGCATCCATCTCAGCTGAAGACACTCCTGAATTAGGACATCCCGCCGGGCGGCCTTCTGCAGTTTGATGAGAGGCGTCGTAGGGTTTCAAACATCGATAACACGTAACTCGATCTTGGCATAAGCGACGATAAAACTCTAGACTGACACGAGTAGGTCTAGCAGGAGTAGGTCTTGTAGATTGAGTATGAGAACCTTGTCTAGCATTGAGCGCATTAACATCGACTTGCATCGCATTAGGATCATAGGGCACAATAACTGAAGGAACCTGCCTGGAAGGTTGAGGATGAGGAGTGGTTCGAGATTGACTTGAAGGTTGACTTGCATAAGATCGTGCCATATTTAAATCAAGGACCTGTCTAGAAGCAGCTAAAGCTAATTCTTGCATCTTCTTTAAAGTAGTGACACTAACCCAATCCGGATGCTTCATAGCGCGACTCAAAATATCTGGCCTAATAGCTTTACTGTAATAATCGATTAGAATGAGGTCGTCCAAAGATAATTGAAGAGCAAGACCATCAAATACTGAATTGAAATGTAATAATGAAAGTCGACCTTGTTTTAAAGCTTGAAGTTCCTTCAACATAGTCATTGAAGAAAATTTATCACCAAATCTTTCAGCGATATGATCAAAAAAAACTTCCAAAGAAGACAAAGGTTCAATGATGAATTTTAAATTTGAAGCCTGATGATTAAAAAGCACTCCATGTTCTTTAGCGTTTTCACGAAGCAGGCTCGTCCACCAAACCTGAGCAGAAGAGGTTGGAGGGAAATGTCTAGCCACCCATCGTATACGACGAGAATCATCCACAAAGCTAGCCTTGTGGGAAAACAAAGAATCACGTATGGTACTGATAAACCATATAACTGCCTTCGGATCTTGTCCATCAAAGGTCAAACTAGGGATTGGAGCTGGTTCTGCACGAGCCATCTGAGTTTGAGAAGACCGAACCGAATCTAACTGAGAATTGAGCTGATTGATCATGTCATTGTTGGAGTCGGCCGCTTCTTGTTTTAAAGTCGCCGTGGCGGCAGAGATTTCGGAACGCATTAAAGATAAAACATCATTTACCCAATCTCCCATACGTTGGTCAAAGGCGGACAATCTAACACAATCTTAAACCGCAGCTGATAACCCCGCGAACGAATATGACAAGTGGCCTAACTCAACGCGAAAAGCCTCAATCTGAGTATGCAACAAATTGTTACTTTCCTCTAATTGAGATTGAAACAGAGAGACGTTTTCGGTAGAGACTTGAGCTATCTTTTCCTCCATCGTAGTTTGGAGAAGTCGAAGAGATGGGTTAACATAACGATCAGCAAATGACTGCTCGTCATTAGAGAGACCAGCCGGGTTTTCTCCAGAGACAGTAGAACGTCGAGCTGCCATATTTGTAAAAAGAGTTAAAATACTAAAAGGTAGTCGAAATAGTTGATGATTTGTTGGTAGAAACCTGATTTGATGTATACCGACCGTGATAATCACAAAGTTGAAGCTAGATATAAGAAAAGGATACCACTCCCCTATCACCACACTTCCAATGATCGTGACGTCATAAAATGATACGATAAACAAAACCAATCGTCGAAACCACAAATTGCTTGAACCGAAATTGCCGAAACCAGCGAATTTCCCAGGAGATAAGACGAGATATCCTAATACGAACATAGCCGCCCATAAGAGTGAAAACACACGGAAATACACAATCACCATCCAAAAAAAAGACTTCAAAATTAACAAACTAACACGAAAAGATAAAAAAATAAAACATCTACATAGTAACAAAAGAGACCATAAACTAAATCTATTCACACAATATTTGTATAAAAAAAATGAAACGAAATTTTTTTATAAAAGTAGAAAGAAATTTATAAAACAATAACACAACCGATGCTATGATGAAGCATATACATTTTTCTTTGAACAGACTAATACATATTGAACAAAAAAATAATAAAAAGAACGCTCCAAAGAAAATAAGGCCAAGAAAAAAAAAGAAATCGAAAAGAGGTTTTAATGATTGAATTATACTGTAAGGGCTTGGGTGTACCTTCGAAAGGCTCATTTAGCCTTTGTAGGCACGTATTCGAGTGAGGAGAAATACTTTAATAATTCGATAAGAGAAAAAGAAACATAACTGTGTACAAGTGTAACATATATATACTAAACACATAAAACATCTAACAATTCTTCTTGATCCTTCTAAATCAAATTCCTGACAACATTCTTCGTACATAACTTGTTGTCTTAACAACATTTGATAAAAAGATAAAGAAAAATAACACAACATATTTCCAATCATTACACATCATGGCAAGAATTGTGCATTGGTTGTTGAATATCTGCCCGTTTGTGTTCGTTAGCAAGTAAAGATGTTCCACCAGGTTTTTGTTTGTTATCCTGGACCTTTGGACCGATATAGTGGGCTTTGAGGGGCCTTTTTGGACTTCAGAGTGATTTAAAACCACACATCGAAAGTTTGGAAAGGAGCGCTTCCGAACTGTATGGGGCCTGACACGTATGCACACCGGTGCGTATGCAAGGGTTTCTCAGTCACCCAGAGTTGCAAGGGTAAGGGTCTTTGTTGGATTCAGCTCCTGAAGAATGTGAATTTTGGAAAACTGCTCGGCATTTGATGGTTGTTCCATAAAATGGGCGTCGATTGAGAAAAGTAAACGATCCGATCCTATTTGATCACGAAGAGCCAGTTGAGGTGCAGAGGATCCAACCTGGCGAGAGAGGGAGACTAGGACCCCGGATAGCTCCTATAAAGCATACCGACAAAAAAACACCAAAAATTCAGTCCTTCATACCTGAATTTGAGGGTCTGGAGGGCCAAGAATACCTCTTTCGTCGGTAACATTCCGAATGAAAACTACCAAAATTTGCCAAAAAAATCCTCGCAGGTCCTTAACACTCAAAAATAGCCTAGGAAGGCCTAGAAAAGCTACAAAATTTCCCATTCATTCCTCCGACGTCGCTATGATCCAATGCCAACGTGGTCAAAACATACTTATTTTGTCGCTTACATCGCTGAAATTTCAAACCAAAAAGATACCTTTTTGGTCGGTACCTTTAATAGAAGCTATCCGGGGTCCTGGGAGACTACAGTTGATCCAGCCTAGTCACGACCACAGGCCGGCCCCGGGGCCGGCCCCGAGACCCAAATTTTCAACCCTCCAGTAATACACAAGTAGGGTATTTTGGTAGAGGTTTTTTTGCATCTTATCGGCGCTTTTGACTCACTTGATCTCAGTTTGTTGATTTGTACTTGGACTATCAAAGCAACAGCTTCAAATGCAAATACTTCCTGGACTCAAAAGCTCTCTTTGAGGACGTTCACAAGTGGTGTCCAGTGTCAAGGATTTGGAAGTATTTTCAAAAAGGCAATTGGCAGATGGACATCTATTGGTGAGTCTCTTATCATTCTTGTCTTCTTAACTCACTATCCATCAATGATACCTTTTCATTTTCAACACTCAAGACTTGGTATGACCGGGTACCAGCTGAAAAATTGACCAAGAGATACTGCTTGCATTGATGCATACCACAAAACACCATCATGAGATTTGGCATGATGTGTGACCCTCAAAGGGCTTTTCTTGTCTTATCTTGCTGTTTTCATCTTTTTTGCATATTCTGTCTGATTTCTTCATCTCCATGTACACAAACCACCATTGTTATGTACTTGACAAATTGTGATGAGCAGAACTTGCGCTGAGGGTTGCTTGTGCCGAGCCATGCTTGTGCTGCTCATAAGGTACTTAAGTAGGTACTTAAGTGGACACATAAATGTGTGGGTGCCTAGGGTAGGCGGTCAAGGCCTTAAGTTAAGTACTTAAGTACTTAATATTGGGCCGGTTAGGTACCCGGACCCAAATATTGGAGTTTGGGGAATTTTTTTTTTGAAAAATAATTGGCCAATCAGATTGACTTGCCAAGTCATTTCTAACACTTACACCCTACTCCTACCCCCAAAATGACTTATTACATGTCATTTATTTATAGGGGTTGTGTGTATAATGTTGTGTAACTGAATTTTGTTTTTGCAGAGCGGTCGTGGTCGTGACTAGACTGGATCAACTGTAGGGGAGACTTCACCGTCCCGACTTCACAATCAGGTGGTGGGCGCAGTTTTGAAAAAGCAAGGCGCGCCCGGGCACTAAATCCACTCAAAATGACGCGTCAAACTAGCAGGGCGCATATGGGCGTGCCTTTTGACCAAAAAAAGTAAAGGAAAACCCAAAAAAATCTTTAAAAAACCAGAATCGAGCTTGTCAAAGTTGCTCGGACACAAATCCTAAGGGGGTCGTTACAAAAGCCAGTTTAAATAAAGATTTTTGTTTTTTTGAAAAGGCATCTCAAAAGATATCTTCAAGGTCCCATGACTTTGAAGGAGCATCAATGACAATAATATTCGAAGTGCGGGACTCTTCTACACAAGCTTGTCTTTTTTCAAAGTCGGACAAATCAAAGAGACTATCTATGTAGCCATCCTCTAGCCCAAGATTAGGGTCAAGAAGACCTCCATACTGACAGGAAAGATTCTGGCTTCAAATTCTTTGAGAGCATCAGGTCCGTCAAAATTGTTGTCCAAGTCGCTTTCACCACATTGATCATCTTGAGCAGCCATCGAGATACTTTTCTTTGAAGAGCTTTGCTCAAAAGACAGTCCCATCCCAATTTGTGAGATCATCCTGAGTATATCAGGATCCATTCGGTTACGGTTTTTGGTCTTCGTGCCTGTCATATCTGAGAACAAACCTTCAACACCACCTGCATGCGGCACCAGCTCGAGAACCCTTATTGCAAGTGTCTTCAACTGTTTAGTCTGAGGTGATATCATGACTCGGAGCCAGTAGTCCAATGGCCTTTCATCTATTAGATATGATATGATCAGCCACCTCTACTTGAATTGACTTGATCATTTGTAAAAACTTCACCTTTTTTGAATGAAGAAAATATATCGTTTCCACTATAGTATTGAGGAACTTGTTCTTTAAGACTTAAAGCATCTGATTTGTCAAATCCCCAAGATCGAGCAACATTCACAATCATCCGCATCATTTTTACAATGGAGAACTCGCGGGAAGCTGCTATTTGACGACACGATGGATTTAAAAAGAAGCCGATGACATAGATATCAGCTTCATACATTTTTGATCGTTGATGCAAGACGTTCAAACAGTGGTGCTTGAAATCTTTGAATTGTTGGTACATATGTAGATCGATGTTTCAAAGTGTACAGTATACATTAGAGAGTTCGAGCCAGACATCCCCAACGGTTGAATTTGCACATTCCAGTCGAGCAATCGCATCAACAACGGGTTGAAGGACCTTGACCAAAATTTGATTAGATGTGAAATGGTCGCAATTATCAACAATCAATCGAATGTTCTTATTCATGGCCGGCGTATCAATGCTTTGATTGTCCAGCATTGCTACACATCGACGGAATCCGAGCTCGTGCTCTTCAACACATAAGCACACCTTAGCCATGGAAAACCATTGTGTCTCACAGGCTGTCTGTAGACCATGTGATACATTCTCTTGCTTCCTCCACTTTGCCAGGTGCTCACTGCTCAGCCCAAAATGCCGAGGATGTAAAAAAGTTTACAAGTGCTTTGTTATTAGCCACAACATCCTTCATTAAAGGATGTCCAAGGATATCCTTTGCAATGAGATTGAAGGCATGTAGGCAGCACGCTAAGCCAAAGATATGGGGGTGGTCCTCGATAAGAAGCTTCTGTTGATAAATTAGAAACCAGCTTTCAGTATATATTTTCGACTTACATATACAAAATTTAAGAAAGACAAAGCGAACCCTGAATTTGATCATGACTGATGGTGAGTCTGATACAACAGCACCGACTTGATGCCAGTTGATGCTCTTTTTAACGAGAGATTTCTTCAGAGCAGTCCATATGTTTTCTGATGTATGGCGTTCTTGATGAAGATCGAGGACATCTAAGAACTGCTTGATGTGAGTTCCACGTAGTATAAGAACAGCGTAGATACTGTTCCTTGAGCAATTGGTCCAACCATCAAGCGAGATAGTTAAGTTCTTTTGCTGGCTTAACTGTGATTGAACAGAAATTTCGTGCTTGGCATGTAAGTGCGGAAGGATTCTATTGATCATGATGTAACGGGAAGGGATCTTGTACGAAGTCACACAAAGCCGTTTTTGATACTCTTGAAAGTATCTATTCTGAAGGAAGCGAAATGGAATGTGGCCAGATATCAAAGCTTTGAGAAGCAGTTTGTGTAGCTCGTCTGTCTTTTCCTTTGAGGTGGGAGTGAAATGATGAAGTGTGGCCAGTCAATCAAAGCTGTGGATGAACTGAGGTTGAGTGAGGGGCTGATTTCTCGCAGAGACTGTCTGATCCTCAATGTTGTCGGATGTTTGTTTACTCTTCTTCTTGGCAAGACTGAATTGAATGTATGTTGATTGGTCTTCTTTTGATATACTCTTACACTTCTCCTTGATGTGATTAAATAATAATGTTGGCTTTCCATCAAGCTCATCGGAGCAATGCATACATTTTGCTTTATGACGACCAGCAACAAAACATTGTTTGCTGTCCATGAGAAATCCATTCCACTGTCTTCCATGTTTCTCGGTGGGAGCTTCCCACTTGACAGTATCCTTAGGCATGTTGATAAAGCAGAAGTGATGAAAAAGTAGGAGATATGAATTTATTTTTTGATTCAGAAACAATTTTGAAGAGATCACTGATCACCAACCATCCCACATGACCAAAACATGGCCCCATCTTATCAATGGGCGCGCCACCCCCTGTTTTGAGAAATCCCAGGCGCGCCTGGGCGGGCGCGCTCATTGGCGCGTCAAATGCGCCACGCCCACCACCTGACTTCACGAGAGACTCCAGCAAAAAATCCAGTTTGATACTGTATTACGTTTAAAAATATAGTGTCATACCGCGCGACCAATCTTTGCTGAGTGCCACCATCCTTTACCACACATTATCTTTTCATTACCTTTTTTTGCTTCATTCCCAACACCAACAATCTGAAGCAAGCATAACAAATTAATTTTACAAATGTGGTCTTTATCAAAGTTTCAAATACTTCGAGAGCCTCTCCCTCCTCCAAAACAGGGGGTTATGTGTGGTTTTGTTTGTCCTGACGTGGGATGTGATTGTGAATGCAAGTACTTTGAATGAAGAATTATCTTGGCTGTAAATTTGGATTTTCTGTGCAAAACCCCAGGCAAAAGATTCAAATTTACAGCCAAAAGAACTCTGGGAACAAGGGCAGATTCTACTTTGTATCCCATAATTTAAAGAAAGGATTGGCTGCACTTTGGCCAAACTGAAAATTGACTCAGGTTCAAGTTCCTCTTTCTTGACTCAGAGGCCCTCAACCCAGAGCCTCAAAAAATACATATGTGATTTTCTCACTTAGAAATGCATGCATGTTAGAATAACCACAGGATGCATATTTCACAATGAACAAGTCAACAAAACCAATTTTAGGGAGTAAGGCCCGGTGTGCCTCCTCTCTTGACAGATTAGTGATAAAACAATATGAGGACCCCAGTATGACTTCCAGCTTTCAAACATGAATTTATAGGCTTTGATGCATAATTCCTGGTGCTGCTTGAACACAGAACTCTTTATTTCGGAGGTTACATTTCCCGCCTCTTGTGAGTCAATAATTTGCTTGCGGGAGACAGCTTTGAGTTGAGGTATGATCAACACATGATTTAATCAGGGTAATCATGCATCAGAGGTCTTCAAAAGATCCATGATTCAAAGTCTAGAGATTGGTACAAGTATTGATATATGGGAATGGGTGAAAAGAGGTGTTGGATAATGAAGTAGCCGGGTCACAGGGAACATCATCCATTCCTTGCAGACAAATCCATTCTCCATTCCTCTCATAGGAGGCAAGGGAATCATGATGTCACCACAAGGAAGCGGTTGTCTAGGATGAAATAAACTTTCCCTAGTTCCCACTTTCCTCATTCATAATAAAAATTATCAAAATACAAAAATTTATAATTCTTCATTAATATCATTATCCTCAAAACTGGTCTTTTCACTAGCATCTTTTATAAAACATTCATATATATATATATAAATTTGTTTTCCTCCCACCCGCCCTAGCTAAGAAAAAAAAATTATATGTTAGTCTCTATAAAAGAGAATAGTCCAGTTTCCTTTCTGCTGTCCAATTACAATGTGTGTCAAGTGAATTGTAAAACAATAAATGTTCTGTTCCATCAATCTAGTAGAGTACGTGAAACTTTTTGTAACAAAAATCTCTACATAAGCTGGTTAGGTTACAGGCTATAAACATATTTGTAGTATAAACGTGACACATACCACCCTCAGAACTCTCTATTTTGTTATTCCAGCAGGTTCTATCTAGTTCATCTCAGCTTTATTAGTCCACAACAATCAAGCCAGTCCCCTGTGATTGTTCTGCGTGAACCAAGATACTCAAGTATCCAAAACCCAAGACCCATTCCCAGTAAATCATGTCAAAATTTACTTACCATTGGCCAAGCAATACATGCTCTTGGGGCTTGAGACAGTTTTCAACCCAGGTACAGCGGCATGACAGGTGCTGTGAGCTTTGGCCCACTCTGGCCATGGAATAGATTGCTCTGCAGTAACTTGACCAATCTTGTGAGCTTAAAGGGAAGCTGCTTTGTAGTACTCTTGGGATGCAGATCACAGGTGTGCAAAACAAAGAGCTCTTATTTTAAGACGGTACATCTGAAATCACAGTTTTTATCATCACATTTTGTGTTGGAAATGATATTTCTCACTGACCTGCAAATCACATGATCTATAAATGTGGACTATGTTTGGTGACAACAGAATAAGATCAACATGAGTATCATCCTACATGAACATATACTTGGATGGATCATCACTGACAGGGTAGCCGTGATGTGGATAGTTGCTAAACTTTGGAGTAAGAGGAATACATACTATGCCTGAATGAAGGTGCCTGCTTGACAACACTAGATCTACAAATTTTGGCCAGCATCTTGCATTTACCGCCTCATTTGACATGCTGTAGATTGAGTCTTTTGGGATCCATCGAATGCAACTTTTGCTCACTTTCAATTGCTCTTTTTGCATCTTATTATCTAGACATTAAATGATCAATGAATTAATTTATGAAATCTCAATTCTCACACAACCTGAAACTCTCTATTACCAGGCCCCAATTGATAATACCTTGTCTAATTTGTGATGATAGCTACACAAGAATTCATCATATATTTGTTGTCCTTAGGGAACACTGGAGAAACAAAGGTGAAAAGTTTCCATTTATTATCTATTTCAGAATTGATTACCTTCTCACCCACTCTATTCAAGTAGTTCATAGTGATGGTCACTGTGTTTAAAAACGCTCCAAACATATATCCGTTTCAAAAGATCTGTTCAATGATACAATCATGGAAGACCTGAAGCATGTGATCAACAAGATAACCTCTGCATGTATTGATTTTTCTGACCTAGAATTTTCTGCATCTCAGGGTACTCCCCAGATTCAATGATTTACAATAAATGAGTTCATGAATTCCATTTTAGGAAGAGTTATCCATCAGTGTATGTTGCACAAGAAGAGCTGCCTCCTCTGGTGATAATTGTGTGAGTAGAGAGGTAAGCTCAGAGCTAGATAGTGTCCGCCAGTTTGTTCGCATGAATTTATATGCTTCAACACGTAGTTCCTCGTGCTGCTGGAAAACTGAGTTGTTGATCTCAGAGATTACATATCTCATGTCTAGGGAATTGATAATCTGCTTGTAGCATATAGCTTTAAGTTCAGGAATGATCAACACTGGAGTTCAACAGAAGAATGTACATCAGAAATTGTTTATAGAGCTCTTGTGCATAGGTCAACGCTGACTGTATAAGGTTGAGATTTGCTTACTATCGGCTAGGCGGTACAGACTCTTTGGGCTCGAGAGAGTCTTGACTCCGGGCACAACGGTGTGAGGAGTGCTACGAGCTTTGGCCCACTGTGACCACGGAGCACGAAGCTCTTCAGGGGATTGGCTACTCTCTGAAAGTTCAATGAAAGGTGTTTCGCAGTACCTTCGGTATGCGGATCGCAGTGGTGCAAAGTAAAGAGCTCTAGATTGGAGATGAAGTATCAGGTTAGCAGATCGATTGCAGTGTTCATAATCGCATTTTGCGTTGTAGGTAGTGAACTTCACTCACCCACAGGTCGCATAATCTATAAATGCTTGATATGTTCGTCGACTGTAATGTTAAAATGAGTAACCTACCAGAAAGGCGCATGCATAAGGAGAAGATCACTGACGAGGTCCCAGTGACACGAATGGTTGCTTTGAATGCATAATTCTGCTATCAGAAATCAGTTTCACTTCACAGATGATCTATCATAAATTGCTCAAAAAACTTTCGGATATAAGTCTCAATACCTTTTCGGTTTCATGGTCGTCCGAATCACTGTCCCATTCCTCATCGGAATCGTCACAGTACATCCCGTCACCAAGATTCCCCACCTCATCTGCTTCAAGCAGGTTTCCATCCGTGTATCGACTCTCCGCATATTCTGGCGAGTGGGCTAGTTAGCACAATAAGTCATACAGATAAGCTGGCTATACACATACCTAGAATAAAAGAAAACACTTTGCACTCACATATTCTAAAATATTCAAACTGTGTGAGAATATGACTTGGGACATACAATTTTTTGAAATTTCCATTGCGATTGGAGCGGAATACTAAACGAGTGATGTCAATTGAGGGGCATTTGAAGGCTTCAAACACTGTGGAGCGCATTTGCTTCATTGCTCGCTTCAGACCAATCAACTCGCGTTGAGTATTATTTAACAGGAATGGTGGGTCTGCACGGAACCAGCATACTCCGAAGTAGATTTTTCCCTGTAATAACAAGTCGTGGCAAAGTTTCAGTGTTGAGCCGGGCTTCGCATGGGTAGGATGCATATTTACATCACAACCTGGGTGTTCAAGTAATTGCTTTAGGCCCAATGCGTTGCCTACAGTGATAGTCTTCCACTCGACTGGGTCGCTGCTTGGAGTGATCATGGGCACCTTGAGTTTCTGCATCCGTTCACCGGAATCGATTCGAAACTGGACGGTGCTCGCATCATGTGGAAGTAATGAGTGGCACGGAAGAATGTGATGTCAGTGAGAAAGATGGTTGATCTTGTACATGAGAGTACGAGCTGACTTTCCATGACATATTCCAGTCGGCATACATCTTGTACACCGAATTACTTATAAGGACGACCAATTCATCCGAAATGAGTTTTTGGAATTCCAACGAAGATAATTGCCCTGTCGGTAATCCTTCGACTGCTGTTGTAGTTTTCCGTCTTTGGAGCCGAAATTCATGAGGACAATCCGTAGAATACATTTGCTGCGCTGGGGAATAACGTGGGTCATAGAGGTGGTGCTCGCATCCCGAACGCATCGTGGCAACGATCCCACCGACGTGTGTATAATCGGGCGTTAGGAGCGAGGCAAGATTTTCAAAAAAACCCTGAGCCTACAAGTTTGAGATAACCGGATCAAACAATGAGAGTAGAATTCAAAAGATGATTGCTGAGTATAACTGCTTATTTCAGATCCGAATCTCTACTCACTGCCACCGTACGGGACTCGATCGCAGTTGTCATGATCTAAATCGGCAGTGAGTGTAGGGTTTCGATCCGATGAGAAGATTTCCCAAGTAATGGATGTGCAGCTCGAGTCCTGGTGAGTTATTAAGCTGATATTAGAATCTTGAAACGCCAGTCTTAACGCTCAAGGGATTCAAGTGGTAAAGAGAAGAGTGTCGAATGAGAAAAATATCAGACCAATTTGGGTCCCTTTCCCCCCCCCTCTTTTTACAAATCGAGGGAATGCGTTCAAAATCCAAATACATACTCATTACACTCATTACATTCTCCCGCGGAGGGCTCAAGGCCCAAGGGGGCTTTGTTAAGCTTGTTGAAAATCCCATCACGCCGCCCTAAAGGTTAACTCGCAAACCACCGTAAATACCCACCGTGGAAGAACAACAAGCTTCCCGTACATGCAACAGCAGCCAGGTCATGCGCCCCAGCTCCAGCCTCCTTGGTCTCCATCTCACCTCATCTCACTTCCCGAGATGTTTCTGGTTGGAAATAAAACTAAACAAAATAATGAGGCATTCAGGCCTGTTACCTCTCAGAATCAAGAAACTGGGTTGACTTCAGAGCACAGGGTTTCATAAAAATTTATTGCAGTTTTTTGAAATAAATGAATTCATCAAGACGTTTTTAGGAGTCTCGAAGTAGGTAGTTGAGAATGATAACAGACTCCTCCTCTGACAGATATCTGATGAGAGGAGAAAGCGCAGTGCTGGAGAATGATCGCCAGTCTTCGTTGATCTTTTTATAGGCCGACAAACGAAGCTCTTGGTGCTGCTCAAAAAGTGGACTCTGTATTTCAGAGATCACAGAGCACTTCTCCAGGCAGGCTGTGATTTGTTGGTGGCATATCTCTTTGAGTTCGGGAATGATCAACACTTTATTTCGTCAAAAGAATGTGCGTCAGGGATCAATTACAGTTCACAACTCAAAGAGCCATAAGATGTTGAGATTCACTTACTATCGGCCAGGCGGTACATACTCTTTGGACTTGTGAGTGTTCTGAAACTTGGTACGATGGTATGAGAGGTGTGGTGAGCTTCGGCCCACTCAGGCCAAGGAGTTACCTGCTTTTCGGGCAATTCTTCAAATGGAAGCGTGTCACAGTATTTCTGGTATGCAGACCGCAAGGGTGCGAAATACAGAGCTCTAAGAGTATAAACGACGATCAGATTCGCGACACACGCCAGTGTTGGCACTCATGGCTAACGTGGGAAATGATTCTCACTGACCCACAAATTGCATAGTCGATAAATGCTTGATATGTTTGTCGTCTACAATGTTTTAATGAGTGCTCTGAAAGAAAAGGATATACGTGAAGAGAGCATCACTGACGCAGTGCCCCTGACATGAATGGTTGCTTTGAATGTGACATTCTGCCGCCACGTATCGGTTTCAGTTCACTGGCAAGATCATATAGCAGCATTGCGGAGAGAACTTCATGATGAAATTATAAGCACCTTTTCTGGTTCAGCAGTGTCTGAATCACCATCCCATTCCTCGTCGGAATCGTCCATATAAAAATCTTCACTGGGAATCTCTGTCTCCTTCATTTCATGCTGTGATTCATCCACATTTTGAGTCTCAGAGTATTCTGGTGAGTGGCCTTTTGAAAATAAGGCGATTAGGTAATCTGATGGTCACGTGACATGAACAGAAAAGCTCTGTACTTACATCTCTGAAAGTATTCAAACTGTGTCAGTATATGACTTGGAACATACAAATTTTTGACCGCTCCGCTGCCTTTTGAACGGAAGATCAATCGAGTGATATCGATTGAGGGCCGTTTGCAAGGATCAAGTATTGTGGTGCGCATCTGCATCACTGCTCTCGTCAGGTTATCCACCTCGCGACCAGTACTATTCAACGATTCCTCTTGACGGGACCACGTCACGGTGAATTCCAATGAGACCTATCATCACAAGTCGGGACAAAGTTTCAGTATGCTGCCTGGATCTGCACGGGGAACAGCGGCATCCTTACCTCATCATAAAGATTATAAATATAACTGTGCTTGATCAATTCCAGAACCGCGCTGTCCACATTAATAGTCTTCCACTTGACTGGGTTGCTGTATGGAGTGATAGTAGCCTCACTCCGTACTATTGAGCTGTATCGCGGCTGGTAGGTAAACTGGAGGGTGCTCGCATGTTGCGTCACGGTACCAATTCGCACGGAAGAACGCACCGTCAATGGAAAACTTTGTGAGCTCGTGGTAGCTCTAGCTGACCTGCCATGTCATGGTCCAATTGGCATACATCTCGTAAACAGAATCACTTAGATGGACCACTAGTTCCTCCAGTCGAACTGAAGATGATTGGCCTATCGATGATGTAGTTTCTCGTCTGCCCAGCCGAAATTCATGAGGACAAGCTGTGCTATATACGTGCTCCGCTGGGTCACGACGTGGTTCATGTATGCGGTGCTCGTCTTGCTCAGTCGTAGCCAACATAGTATCGGTCTGCGTAGTGGATCTTAGAAGATGGTCAACGTGAAGAAATTTTCCACGAGTCTACGAGGTTTGGACATACGGAGCGAAAAAAATCGCTTAGCTCAAGATATTGGGTACTGAGTACAATTCCTGATTGCTGGGTGAAATACATATGTACTCACTGTCACCGTTCGCTTCTCGACCATCGTCTCCACGATTTATCACACGTCTTCAAATGGCTGGATGAGTCGTTGGAATTTTTCTTCTCATGGCGGCCTCTCTACACCACGGGGGGGTCCTGTGAGGACCCCGGAAAGCTCCTGGAGAACAAACCGTCCTCGATCCATTCCGGCCCCGGCCCTCACACTTTCACTATTTGCCCCGAGGAGAGGTGGGTTAACATGGATTTCTCGGTGGTAGGAGAAGCGCCTTGATCAGGGCTCTCGATTACATATACTTTCAGTTTTGTACCACGTGTAATCACCGAGATATCCGTATGTAAGTACCCGACCCGAGCCGGTATGGATTTTCGTCGGTCTGGGGGGGCAAAAGTTACAAATCACACATTTCCCAAGCCACCAGTCATGTTCAGGGTCAGAAATGTGTACCATCTGATAGCCCTCGTTGAGGCGCATCTTTTGCACCTGTCACATCTCTGGTACCATGTGACATGACTTCACAAAACACCGGTATCCGAAAACCCCCTCAGGACGGTTTGTTCTCCAGGAGCTTTCCAGGGTCCTGTCCTGTGCCCAAAAGTGGTCGACCAAGGTCTGAGACTCGCCGGGTCGCTTTCTGGCCCGCCGACGATCGTCACGGCCGCCGGGGCGCAACCCGCAGACCATACATCCCGCGGGCCTTTCTCAGCGGTCATTGGGGCGACCTCGAGACCGAGATTATGGCAGACCCGCCAAAGCTCAGCCGTAGATAGCCGGAAGACCGGCAAACTCATAGTACGCTTGGTTGAGTTTTCGGCGAGACAGCTTATACAGCGAAAGCACCACCATCACATGCCCTCCGAACCGTGTAAGACAAGGCACACCTTTCTCCACATATCATTTCCCGCTGCTCACGTCGTATGGTCTTCCACCTTTCAGACATCGAAAGGGTCCCCTCAGACCCAGCAAACCCCCGGTTTCGATGCCGAGCTTGCAACACTCAAGGAATGGCAAATTACGAGCATCACCTCAAGTCGGCTACCCACCAAACCAAAGTTCAGGCCTTCTTATCACGCTTAGCCGCGGAAGAACAATCACTTGTTGGTTTGGAAGCTCAAGATGGCACCGATTCCAACACACCTGACCCCCATTTAATGGAGCCGAGTTTTGAACCCAATCCCAATATGGACGATCACCACTTCAATCCTCCTTCGCCTCTTAGCGCGCTTCGCTCACTCGAACCCCACGAACTGCTCGGAGTAGGAACGCTCAACCATCCAAACAACGTGGATGATCCTGATGGACATGTTTGGTTCGATATGCTCCGTCAAGCTCTGGAGAACCTTGAGCAACTTGATCTGGAGAACGACGAAGATGAAACAGAAACAGAAGAGGAACCCCAAGATCCCCAATCTGTACGGGCCAGAGCTCAGGAGGCAATAGAATGGCACCCGTTCAAGAACAAAGAAGTGAGTGATAGATTCCATTCACTCACTTAGCTTTGCAACCGCCCAATTCCGACCCTGGCCTCATGCTCTTCCTCAATGCTCAGCAGGTCGCTGGGTTGCTAATCATTGGCTCTCCTCGTCACCTCCTATCTCGGGCACAGTACCTGTACATTCGGTCAATTGTACGCATCTGCAATGTCAAGCTCCCTGAATGGGGTACATTAAGGGAGCTTAAGGTTCGCTTGAAGGCAAGGCTCGACATTTCCTTGTCAGAACGATCCAGTCCTGGTGGCACACCCCTGTTTGGGCTGACCGTGAAGTCAATAATTACCAATGTATGTCATTTCTCATTTCGTCTAAATAGATATGTTCCCTCGGCCTGACTTTATTTTATAGGAGTTGGCAAATCCATTTGTCAGCCCACATTTGGCGTTTGTACCGGAACTCCCTCATGATGGTAAGATCAATCGGCTGTCTCAATCTCGAAAATGGCGGGAATGCTATTCGCCCGAACTTTGAGTACAAATGGTGGTCCACAACAGGCACCATTTCTATATATACAAACCTGTCGAGCTCCATACTGGCCAGCTTGCTGTGCCGGTATTTTTCTTTCAAAGTAACAACAAACTTCAAGCCAGGTGTCTACCCGCAACAATTCAGGAAGATATTAGTAATCCTAATCGTCTCAACATCGTCATTCCACAAGAACCAAATTTCGATTCAGATCTTCTCTATATGTTTGATGTGGCAGACTTCGCAAAGCCTTTCAATAATATCAACCTGGACAACGGTCAGTTTCTACGGGACTTCTGCGGAGCAAACATGTATCGTATGTATAATATTGTTTCAAAGCATCATTTATTTCCTCACAAGTCAAGTGTTATTATCTGACACCGTTTTCCGTAGAACTTCTGGACGTCGGAGTGGTGACTCAACCACTGCAAAACCCTTGGCGAGATAAAGCAAACGGCAAAGTAATACGGCATGTTCCTATTACTTTATACTCCGACGATACGTCAGGGAATGTGTCCAAAAAATGGAACAAACACATGAGCATATACTTTACTCTGTCGGGTTTGGCCCCTGAATGGACCAATCAAGAGTATAACATTCACTTCTTGGCCACGTCAAATAGCGCTTCCGCTCTCGAATTACTCGACGAGGTGGTGGACCAGGTCAAGTAAGTACCACCGTCCTCTCTTTCTTTCTTGGATAGATTGAATTCTGACTCACCGTGATCTACCCAAGTGATCATGGCGAAAATGGCTTCACAGCCTACGATGAAACCCTTGGCGAAGAGGTATTGGTCATGGTGGTGGTGCTCTGCCACCTCGGCGATTCACCGATGCATGCCGAAATTTGTAATACCACAAATCCTGCAAATACATTGACCCCGTGTCGGATGTGTGAGCTCAAGGTGGCGCGCAAGGTAGATAAAGAAGGTGATCGTTTTGTAAGGGATTTTCTGGGGCTCAATTCATTAGGGGAAAAGGTGTGTGTGTCGAGATTGGCAAGGAAAGAAAGAGGTTGGCTGACATGATGATGTACCCACAGTGTTCTCTGCCTGCTCGAAATTGGAGTGTCACACTGGGGCGCACTCAAGAACTGTGGGATCTAGCTTGGAAACCCCACACCAAGACCCTTGTGGAACAAATGGCCCGGAATTATGGACTGCGAGACTCTTTCAATGAATATTACGTACAGAAGGTTCAACATGCTCTATCGGTAATGCCTGCAATCGAAGTGGAAACCCTGGTGAATCGGTTAAACGAAGACAAGGGTTTGAAGCTTTTCAACCCCATGTTAAGGCTAAAAGGTGTACAATCGTGATATACGCACTCGCCTAAAATGTGTGGGTCTATTCATATTGACATTGGATTTCATTCTTTTTGTACCATCAGGATTCGACGGTCACATGGATACTCCGGTCAAAGTGCTGCACGTCGTTCTTCTAGGAATCGTGAAGTACCTTTTTCGAGATCTTATGAAGGACCTTTCGCCAATGAAACCAGGATCCGATAAGTTCAACAACATCACAGCGCGTTGGCGAGCGTTTAGTCCGAGAGGTTTGAACACACCACCTGTTCAGGCAATCAATTTGATCCAATACTACCAGAGTCTTGTGGGTAAGGACTTTAGGACTGTCCTCCAGACGGTGCCTTTTGTGATCTTTCCTTATCTCGACACCCCACAGCGTCACCTGTGGTTATCCTTGTGCCTGTTAGGGTCCTACATCTTCCAAACGGAAATCACGGACATGAAGGTATACCTTCAGGAGTTGGACGATCACATAGGGTCATTTCTCAATCAACTGATCAGTCACACTGCCCAATGGGTTAATAAGCCGAAGTTTCATATGTTGATTCACTTGCGAGATTCAATACGTCGATTTGGACCAGCTTCTCTCTTCGCCACGGAAAAGATGGAATCGTTCAACGGGAACTTGCGCAACGCTTCAGTTCACTCCAATCACCTGAGTCCGAGCCGCGATATTGGAAACACCTTCATTACTGAAGTGATTGTGCGTTTACTTATATCTGGGTCCTCATTCTTTGACAAGGTGCTGCAGGCCCGTGTCACTGGGGGTCCTCGCCTGAGGGCTCTTCTCACAACTATCCCCAAGTTGAAAAAGGCGATAGGTCTAAATGACAACCCAAAGGCTCTTCTGCTTTTCAAGGAAGGTCGTAAGTTTAATCTTTGTCTGTTCATAGCCACACCGTCGCTGATCTTGGATCTTCTGCTATAGGCAGGATGAAGACTGAAGTCCAGCGACCACATTTATTACCTGAATCCGACCCCGGGCATGAGTTTGTTTGTTACAAAAGCATTTCCCTGCCGGACGGTCAAAGCCTGCGAGCCCTGGATTTCGTAGTTGTAAGGAACCGCTCATGCGCTTTCCTAAAGCCATCCTAACTGATGTTCCATGGTGTTTCAGCTCAAGGACCAATCAACAGTGGCCCAGGTTCAATCTTTATGGATTCCCACAGGCAAGGCCCCTATCAAGGCCGTTGTTATCTTGAAACAATGCAATAGAGGACGCCTGGTTCCTTTCTATGGCATGCGAGAGGTGTTGGTGACTGAACATCAATACACACGGAGTGTCCGGGTCAGTCGATTGACCCTCCTTCACTTAGGCTGCTCGAAACAATAATCAATTGTCTTGTTGATGTGAATGGTTATAGGATATGTTTGCCATACTCAACGTACAACACAATTGTCGCAAAGGACTATGCACGGTTACTATGTCAAACACCAAAAAATTCGAGCACAAAATCTGTGACGTCTTGGTTTCCGGAATCACTCATGCAAAAACCAATTCTGATATAATCAATTCAGCAGCTCATTACTCAGGTGAACTCCATAGGAAAATCTCCAAACTCAATCTGGCTCCAGTCACCCCACCTCAATGGAACAAAACTATAACCAAAGGACGGGGCGTATGGAACGACGCCCCAAAGGGTAACAAGAAACAGAAAACCGACGACGGACCTCTTTCCACTGAAAGCAATCTTGAAATTTGATCAATGCAATCTTTCTATAGTGCAAAACCTACTTATTTACAATGTTGGTGTGGCGCAGGATGGAATAACGCTTGTATATAGGATGATTGATACAAACAACTACATTTAATCATATGTAAGGATGAAATGATATCTGTTTGTGAATCTTAATGCCATTTGGTGATGCCTAGTTGACTGAACTTTTATAAAGGTGGCCTATCCAACTTGCCAGTGCCTGCATTACAATGAAAATATGATATCAGTTTGCCAATCCACACATGATTGCCTTTTGGGAAACATACGATATGGATCCAATACGCGACGTAGGCATGCTCTTGCGCCGTGAGCTCGGCGACACCCCCAGACTTCATCAACAAGTGCCTCTGGAAGGGTGCGACGAATGACATCAAGAGCACATCTATCAATAAAGAGCGCCACTGCAGTACGTATGGTGGGCCGAGGCGAGAGCAGGTAATCTTCTTCCCCGGTGATTTCCTCAGTGGCACGGTCGATGTTGAATATCCACATTTGCCAATTAGATCCATCTTCTGCTAACTCGGGGAAATCTTCGATAATATGTTCAACCCCTTCAAATTTGCTAATCATATTGTCGACACGATGATAGTCCTCCCTTTGGCTTGCGGCTATAGCCGCGCGGACTTCAGGGGATTGCATTGCTAACTAGGAAAACGAGGTTAGGAAGGAAATTAGAAGGGGTTCAAAGAGAATTAAGTGATTGATGTGTGATCGCAGAAAGGCCACCCACCGAAATCAACAAGTATTCAGACAATAACGCAATTCAATGACCGAGCCGTAATTTCAGAGGGGGAAAGCGAGAGATCCCGTTCGAAGACACCTCAGCTTTTGGATGGCAATTGAGCGCAATGTTTGTTATTTGACAAACATCGCGCTCAATTGCCCTCCAAAGGTGTTTCACACTATTGGACGCCTCGCGGTCCTGTTGACCTCGGCAGAAACTGTGCCATTTGGCCCAATCAGGACAACAGGTCTGGGTCTCCCGCGATTTACTGGCGCGTTAAGTACAATGTGGGGTGAAGGAGTTCTTTCGATCGAAGACACCTCACGTTTGGGGGGCCAATCGTGCGCAATGTTTGTTATTTGACAAAGATGGCCTAACACGCGCTCCCATGGTGTTTTGCACTATTCAAGGCCGCACGGTTCAGTGGACCTCGGCATCAACAAGACAATGTTGTCCCCATCAGGACAACAAGGGTGGGCCATGGTCGAGACTTGGCCCTAACCCCTTCTCCAACCAATCACGGCAGCCCAATATCGTCCGCATCAGGAACTCAATTGGACTTAGACCGAAAAACGCGTGCCTGTGGGCTGCCCTTCGCTGGTTGGTCAGTGTCTTTGATTGGAAGCCACACGTCTGCTGTATGGTCAGAGTATAAAGAGACACCAATCCCTGGCCGGTGTGTTTGTTTCTCTCCCACTCTTGCAAAAGTTCCTCAACCTTTGTTTGTTCGATTACCCGTCACTTCTCTCAACACTTTCACTTCGTGAATCAATTTCTTTAGCCCAATTGATCTAATCCAAACCATGTCATCGTTACCAAGCCGAACTTTTGGTGTGTCCTTCTTTCCCCCTCTTTTAATCTCTACAACCTGATCGTAATCCTCATCCTTGATTTTTCTCTTCTCTTCAGGCAACCTAGGCCATGACGCCGGTGGCTCGCCGGGGGGACCCGTGACTCCTCGCACCCCGGCCAATGCCAACTCCATCCGTGGGCTCAACAGCTTTGGTACCTTTAATGCAGCGACCCGGCCCGAAAAAAGCGGGTCGATCCCGGGATCAGGACCGGGTCAGCCCGATCTCGGCGTGGGCATGGGCAAAAGCGGGTCAGCCCGGTCCGACCCGCATAATGTAGGCACAGGGGAAGTTTGGGCAAATTCGCTCTCAGGTGGGCAAAAAAGATAATAAATTTTTATTTCAAGCGCCTACAATACGTATTTTTCATGTTTTAAAAGACTACCATATGTGTATAACAGGTTGGAAGTTAACATTTTCAATAAAATATTTGATAATTTGGAAAAATTGAACAGATAGACTCATAGAGGAACCAATGATAATACCTTGTTCCAAGTCTTGAGACATACAAGAGCTTCAAAAGTATCCGGTTTGAGACCATGACGTCTTTTGGTTAAGATACGGCCGCCTGCTGAAAAGGCCCGTTCGGAAGGGGTACTACTTGCTGGGACTGAAAGAAAGATTCGAGCCAGGTTTGCAAGAGAGGGATAAGTTCCTTCGTTACGTCGCCAATAATCCAAAGGTTTACAAGATCCGGGCTCGCGAGGTTCAGCTAGATAACTTATAAGTTCATCGGCCAATGAGTGCTTCTTGGGTGCCGGTAAGAAAGTTTGAGGTCCGTCTTCATCAGGCTGTTGGATTGAATCTATTGTATCCTCTACAACATCTTCATCTAAAATAAATCGTCGAGCCTCCTTTAAGAAGAGTTCTTGCAAATCGGATTGATTGTAAATACCGGCTTTTTGAAGAGTGTCGGAGGAAATCTCCTTGTCCTTGCTTCGAGGGTCAAGTACATGTGCACAGAGATACACTGGCTTAGCGATTGCGTCGTTAAAGTAGGTGGCAAGCTTTTTCTTCATCGGAGTGATGGCAAGTCGAATGGAAATGGTTTTCGAATGAATCCAAAGCCTTGAAAAGATACAAGATATCAGCGATGTGAATTACAAACTGAAAATTTATCATCTCAAGCTTACCTTGTCAAGTTGACTTTCAAGCCACTCATAAACTGGTAAGACAGCATCAAGACTCGTATAAGTCGATTGTGAAAGCATATTAGTGGCTTTTTCGAACGGCTCGAGAAATCGAGTAAGGCAGGCAATGAGATCCCACTCGGAAGGGGTGAGAGAAAACTTGGTCATTGAGGAGTCCCTTGAGCATTTAAGATCGATAACATCCTTGAGTTCAAGTGCTCTTTTGAGAGCCATGAGATCCGAATTCCATCGAGTTTCAACGTTTCGAATGAGTCCAAGACGGCGACCGAGTTCAGCCTCCACAAGATTCTCAAAAGACTTTCTACGACTTGGAGTTTTCATCACAGCGGTGATGAAAGCCATGAGACGAGTTAATGCTCCAGGAGCATCAACATGATCATTTCCACCATCTTCAAGTAAATCAGGTAAGGTGACTGAAGAATTCTCGCCAAGGTTTTTTGAAAAAACTGCCAAACCAGCGCGAGCAACTAAGTTAATGACATGAGCTACACATCCTAGCAAGTGTTGGTCCTTATTGAAACTTTTGATTTCGCCTGCGACTTCTCGCGCCATCGCTCCATTTGTGGATGCATTATCCGCTGTAATACAATAAATTTTTTGATCAATATTGAATTTCTTGAGGCACTCCATAAAGTAAACTGCAAGGTTGGCACCCGACTTGGGTCCTTCAATATCTTGCATAGCTAATATAACTTCTCGCATCTCGTATTGATTGTCGATCCAATGAGCAGTGATACCTAAGATGGGATGATCATTTGGCGATGACCATTCATCGCAGGTGATGTTGATAGCTAGTGATTGAGCCAATACGACCTTGAGAAGAGTACGACAGACACGGAACTGCGTCTTGACAGCCTCCATTACGCAATCGGATCCAACAAGGATGGGTGGTATGTCTCAATTACAAAGCTTGAGAAGTTGTTTGAACTCTTCGCGATCAACAATCATAGCTGGCATCTCGCCATTCACAACAAGCTTGACGAGATGAAACTTGAGAGATTCTCGAGATAGTTTGGGAATCTGGAAAGCCAGATTCAGAAAAGAAATAGAATGAAATAAAAGAAGAATTATAAAAAGAATGAAATTAGAGAAAAAGATCAAAAGAATAAAAAAATGATCAAAGCTTGAATTCGAAAAACTTACTGTTTCCATCTTGCCACTGGTGAAAAAGGACTTAATCGCACCTTGTTGTGGCTCGGATTCTGGTGTAATCCAGTGTTGACGCTCAAGATGTCGAGCGAGAGACTTTGTACTCTGAGTTCAATCTGGAGTCATAGGAACTCCACATATATGGTTGCTTCCTGCGGGTTTAGAAACTTGACATATGTACTTTGCTGTCCCACGTACTATTTCCGTCTTGAAATACTTCCATACCCACGATGTTTGATTCTTTGTAATCTTATTAGATGAATTGGAGTTCGTAGATTGCGTGCGCTGAGAGTGCGGAGGAGTTGATTCATTGTCTGAGTCCAGTACAATAGGTGACGATACAATAGGTGGGGATGAGCGTCGAGGGCGTTTCGGGTGTTTCGGCATGATGTTGGTTGGTTCTCGGCAGAGTCTGGGAGCAGTGATGGCGGATTTTGGGTGGGAATTTTGGTTTCTCCCCAATTTCTTCAATTTTTTTGAATTTGAAGAAAATTGGGGCTACCGGACCGGGTCGACCCGGCCAAAAAAGGAATGGGCCCCGGGCCATTTTCTTTTTTCCGGGTTAGGTCCGGGTCGCTGCATTAGGTACCTTACGAGGTAATTAAATAATTCTTTGTTTCAAAAGAGACCTTTCTCCTTGTTAAAGCTCTCTTTGTCTTCTTTTTATCACCTTTCTCCTCGATTTCCCCCCTCTTATTTGCCTGGAACCTTTTCCAGGTGCGAGAGCTCCGTCTGTTTCGGGGCGCATGCGAAACGATCGTTCGCTTTCGCCTGGTGCTCGAACCTCTTCTTCGTCCTCTCTCAAACGTTCTGACCACGAGAGAAGACCTGATGATGAGAGTTCTCAAGTCTTCGAAGATCAAAGATCCTCCAGACCCCTTGGGTCTATCAAGAGTGTTGTCTTTGAAGAAGCGGTCACTAAGGCTGGTCTGGATGACTTTCACCGAGACTATGCGATGGGGGCGGCCGAGGTAAGATACTCCTCTCTGCTCCTTTTCCACTTTCTCTTTTTGAATGTGTTACGTCTTGTTTTAGGCTCTAGGACCTTTCCGTCACATCGTTTGGAGTGTCGCTCAGGCCAAGGTCCTGCTCGACATGACCAACTTATCCGACAACATGCTCAAGATGACAGATCAGATGGTCAGTGTTTTGGATCAAGTCGAAGCTGCTTTCGCCAAGATCAATCGCATCTCTGTCAAGGTGGATGCCATCGGCGACGCTGTGGATAATATCACCAACCATGTTGATACTATTACTGAGTTGGTTCAAGCTGGGCCAAACGTTCAACCGACACCCAATGGCAATGCCCCCACTGGGGCCAATCAGCAGGCCACTCAAGCTTGGGTCTGTGGGCCCGAACTTAGGGTACGTTCTATCCCTCAATCCTTCCTTCGTTTCCACTATCATCAGAGCCTGCTGACCAACGGAAATCATAGGGCGCGATTGTCGCCGCGGCTCACCGATTCATTGCTCTACCGTCCCTGGAGTCGTATACGGCTTTGGAGACCCCCGAGCGCGAATGGCTTGCTCACTCACTATTCAATTGCATCAAGGTACGATAAGTTTTACATCCTATCGCTTCTCCTTATCTCATCCCTGTCGTCTTCATCAGACCGCTGTGCGCCAAAACGGAAATTACAACCAGTACCTTCCGCCTCAAGTCAACGGTGTCAGTGATGTCACCGCGACCAGGGCTTACAACACCGAGATCAAGAATGTCTGTAAGCACATGCGCGAAAGGCTTCACCTTATTGTGAGTGTTTGCCCTTGACACGTTGTTGTGTGTGCTTTAGCTAATGTAACCCAATCAGCTCTTGACAGGAGTCTACGATCCCAAGAATTCCGTAGTCCAAGGTGCCGTTCCAACCCTCAAGTTACTCATCCATCGAGTGAGTGTTACTCTGATTCATAGGAGCTACAGCATATCATTGACCGCGTTTTTATATAGATTGCACTTAAGTTTGGACTCACCGGGGACCAAGCTGACATCGAGGCAGTTTGGGCCAGTACGACTGAGCTCGGACGCTGCCGCATTGCTTACCTTGTGAGCTTCTTCTTCCTCATCACGTGCCATTACACATCTCTCACAATTTTTTTGGTGTCTTTGTTTGTCCACGTGCGTGATTAGCGACGGGAGGCCCTTCAAATCTTCCAGGTTGGAAGGGGCTCTAGTTCCATTTGGGCCGCCGTTGACAACCAGCTCAACGACCTACGTTGTTGAGGTCGTGATTATACAGCATCGTAAGTCATGTGCCACTCCGCCCTGCATGTTCTACAAGTAACTGACGAGGGGGTTTCCGCCAGATTTTATAACCTGATTTATGATGATGACCGTACCGCCTTTGACGGCCAAGCCCGTTATGAAGACATATCCCAAGTCTCTGATTTCCGCTTGCCTTTTGAAGACGAGGTCAACGCGGCCATCATTGGACATGAAAACAACTCAGAATGAATCTGACGAACATGCTACAGTTCCACGAAAATCTTCACGCTCTTTCAACTCCCCTTTTTTGAAAATTTTACGATGCTCCTTGTGTGCTCAATGATTGTTGGAATGACGAACCAAACGTGCTATCCCCCCAATGAAAGTGAAAATGAATATTCAATTGAGTCTCATTGTTTGATCCCTTGTTTGTGAGCATGTGATTTGGCTCTCACTGTGCGCGCCGCACCCTTGCTACGCCCGTTCGGATGGCTGCCTGCTTGGCATCCGCGCCCTCTTTGGCACCTCCAGGCGCCCTCCGTGCGTTGCACTCGCACCCCTTACATGCACTTTGAGATGCCTGCCTTTTTGGCAGCCGCACCCTAACCCTGCCCAACGAAAAAGGTGATGGGCCGTCGTCTGACGAGACTCATTCGGTCTTTTGTCTGATCGATGGCGGTTTGTAGCCCGCCCAAGCAGGCGGCCGTCATTCCGAAAATCCAAGGCCTACCCTAAGACCGCCCATCCCTCTGCAGGAATGGGCGGTCTCACAACAGCCGGTCCTGCCGGACCGAAGGCGGTCCGGACCCTCCGGTGGTGTATTTTTGTATGCGCAATACAGCGCGATTTCGACCGTATAAGCATAATTGACCAGCGATTGGCGAAGTATATGCTCATATTGAAGCTCAAACTTAACGAAGTCCCAACACTGGACCTAACCACCATGGAGATCTCAGATCTGTAGGATTGGACCCTCTGCTTCATGTGAAATTCTGAATCCATCACTGCTTTACCAAATGGGTCAATCAAATTCCGCAGTTTAAACTTTGAACACGGTTAATCACTCCAGATCGCTCCCTTTGTCTAAATTTTAAAACCCCCAATTTTAGCCTTTTTCATACACGAAAAACAACAGAGTTTTTTTAAAATTCCCTGTTTCATACGTCTTTCACCCCTACATTTTTGGGGCCTTTGGGGGTGCACCTAGCCAAGATTTGGTTCTCATACCTCCCAGACCTTTACGTTTGAGAGCGTGTTTTTGGGAGTTTCAAGCAATAATAAAACTTCATTTTTTTGGGTCAAAAAATGCTAACAAAACATGAGTTGAGACCTTTTATGGCATGCATTGTTGTAGATACAATAGAATGTAACTACAACTCTTCATCACTTGCTTCACGTTGGCCTTTCTTCTGGGCACATAACCGGGCCAAGGCTTCTTTGACCCCTTGCATATAAGCAGGCCGCTTCATTTCTTGCACCATCTCCCATATACCTTCTGTGGTAGCCAGGCACAATGTGGTTGAGGTTTGGTGATATTCAACACACTGGTCTTGGGAAACAGATAGTGAATATGTGGCATCTCCAAATGAGTCAGTAGAAGTCTCTTTGGAGTTGCTTGGCGGTAACCCATAGCCAATGGGTGATTGTCATTGTGGAGGTATAACTGTGTGGATATGTATGAATTTTTTTCACAGGTATCACTGGACTTGAGCCATTGGTGACAACCACCTTTGAGCCAGGCCGGGTGGTACCCAAATGTTAGGGGGTCTCAGTAATATCTAAAAAAATTTGTAGAGGGTCTTTTTGGCAAAGGTGATTTTTCTTCACTCTTTCACCGCATACTTCACCCATGTATTGTAAAAATACAAGTCTATGCTATTCTGTACTCCAGGATTTGTGATGAGAGGTGCTCCACCTACTTACTCAAGGTATGCAAGTACCAGCTTAAGTGGCTACCTAAGTATTTAAATACTTGAGTGAAGTACTTAAGGACTTAATATTGGGGCCCTTAGGTACCTAGACCCAAATGTTGGAGGTTTGTAAAAACAAAAATTTCAAAAAAATGGCCAGCAGATTGACTTACCAAATCATTTCTGACACAAACACTCCCCTAATTAAAGCCCAAACAATGACTTTTTACATATGATTTGTAATTAAGAGTTCAGTGTATAAATTTGTGTAATAAAATTGCAATTTTGCAGAGCGAGTCTGGTTGTGACTAGACTTGAGTAACTGTATGAATCCTCTTGTTGGAAGGGAAGATATGTTGAGAAGCTTTGCCTGTTCAAGTGGAGCCGGCATGTCTGAGAAGGAAAGATTTTAGCCTGGGAAAAAGAGATTGATAAGTTGTGAGAAAATTCCGAGTGGTTTGATTTCAAAACTACTACACATCACTGCATGGATATGGTCAGATTTGGGCATATTTATTCTTTTCATCATTATGTGCCTAATGATGGTGAATATATTTGGCATCATTTGCCTTACATCAAGCACAGTGAATTTTGTCAAGATCACCCACATCAATCAATATCCAGCCAAAGATATGCTCACAAGCCTTGGTGCCATGTTTCCAAGGCACAAATGGCACATCTGGAAAGTGCTCACAATGTGAGATGACTAAAGCAATGAGCGACAAAGCAAGCTGGCCAAATGTCTTACACACTGGGCTCGAGATACCATTTTGATCTAATGACATGAGTCCATTTGTGTCCTTGTACTGCTCTTCAAGAAAACATTTCCATCACTTAAGAAGCACATTGGCTGTATGTGACAATAAGATACACTCCTCATGTGAGGCAGATGTGCTGAGCCACACATCAACCAATTTATCAGTAATAAACAAATACACTGCAAGTCCTGTACAATCCGGGTGTTCTAGAGTCAGTTTAAGTGTATCATTGTTGAGGGTTCAATAAGCATGTTCATCTCCCGTCTATCAACATTGAACAAACTATCCTTGTCCTGCATTAATAATACCATGTATTCAATGTTGAGTACTGACCAAGCACAAGCAATTGAGCTCCAGATAATAGTTGACTAGCTCCTGTCCTCCTTGCATGTTTTGGGTCTTGAATAGTCACCAGAGGTATCTGGTTAGTCCCAAATAGCGGCATCTTGATGTGAATGTTGGCTTGAGGTCAAGAAAACTCTATGTAATTGATGCTTGGGTTTTGACAAGGCACAAGGAATAACCCTCGTCCATGTCACTAAGACCCAAGATGCTTAGGCTGAGGCTACTAGACGCTCGGTCTAGTGATTAGACGCTTGGTCTAGTGATTAGGTGAGAAAGCTCTGGGCCTGGATCAGGCACAAGATGAAAAGTAAAGTCTACTCAGTTACCAAGGTAACCAAGTTCTTCTCTCTAGATTCGAGAGAAGTCCTCCAAGACTTTACTTTCTCATCTTACCAGACTTTTCCTGGTGTTGTCTTTCCTACTCACTTCTCCTCTAAGCCTCGAGCATCTTGCTTTCTTCTCTTCTCTCAAGAAGCTTATCCTTAGATTCCTTTCAAACCCACATGTTTAAAAAGCCCTCCCACCCATGGCTTGAAAGGACTCTTTTCCCCCTTTCCCTCTCAGACTTCTCTCTTGTGAAGAGAAATTCCTTATGATCTCAATAATTGAGATCATTCAGTTGAAGTTCCCAGAGAGAGAAAAACAAAAATTGGTTTTTCACCCACAGCACGTAAGCCTCACTAACAGGAATGACTACTGTTGGCAAGTCTTACCAAATTGCATACCTTAGCATAGGTAAGGAGGAAGCACAGTGTCATTTCACTAGTCACTGGCAGGCCAGTGAGTTCCATTCACCTCAATCCAATCTCAGTTCAATGTCAGTTCAATATCAGTTTGACCTCAAATTATGTTTGAGTGGGGGATATGCATGGGCTGCATAATCACTCAAACCTTCCAGACATTCTGACACCTTCATGTGTGGACATGCAACCAAGCTTTATTCCAGTTCATTCTGGAAGGTTGTTTGTCTGCTACGCTAAGCCAAACATGGAGATTGGATTGAGCTGGACGTACTCACTGGCCTGCCAGTGAGTAGTAAAATGACACTGTGAAGGTTATTAAAACACCTTTGTTTAAATAGTTTAGACATCTAATGAGTCTGTACGTAGACATGGAATGCCGGAGAGTTTAATAGTTGCTGTGCTGACATCTCAGTTGCCACACCATCAGATCCAAGAGATAAAACTTTCAGAATGGCTTCTTGTGCTAGATTGAGGACTTGTGCTTTATAAAGTCATCTTTGGCTGTTCTGTGCTCAGTTTTCCACTTGTTTGGGTCAATGTGTGAAGTAATAGTAGCCTGACTGACAATCTGGAATTGTCCAGCAGCCTGAATCCCAAACCAGATGGTGCCCAAGTCATGTCAAAGTACCATTTTGCACCAAAGACCAACATCAATGCTGAAGCTAGGTGATCTCAAAGTGGCTTGAGCTGACCTCCCATGTCATGGTCCAGTTGGCATACATTTTGTACACCAAATCACTTAAATGAACAATCAATTCATCTACAATCAACAGCTTTCCTTCCATTGAGGTTGAAGATTGTCCCATTGGCAATGTTCTCACTGTTGTATAGTTTTTTGTCTGTTAAACCGGAACACATGAGGAGTCAAGGACACTCCGTACAGTACACATGCTCTGCTAGGGAACATTGTGGATCAATCAGGCAATGCCTGTCCCCCAAATTCATTGTGGCATGATAGCTTCAGTTTCCGTCTGGGACCTTAAATGCTGGCTGAGATTGTAAAATTTGCTGCAAGCTTGCAGGATAAGCAAGCAAAATACAGAAGCTGAGCTCAAGAGACCCGTAGCAAGACATATGAGTGATACATATGAAGATTGAATCCCATTGAATGTCTACTCACTTTCATCATCCATTTCTCTGTCATATTCTACTTGAATGAGCCGCAAGTGTAACGTTTTGATCCAATCAAATGGGTTTTCTGAGTGCTTGTTTCCTGAATTCTGGTAATGAGGCTGATTTAAAATCTTGACACACCAGTTTTGACACTGACTAACCGCCACACCCAGGTATCCAGACTCAAGAGTGATGACTAGATGAAAATGATGAAAATGATGAAGAAAAAACTAGGAAAAATTGACTGTTCCACGGTTGTCCCTTTAACACAAACCCCACCCAATCATCAAGGGAGAGTTGATTGTCCCCACACAAGCTCATATATCTTCTAAGCCATACTCTGGCTCAACAGGCTCAACCCATCCTTACCGCAATTGTTTTCAATAAATGGAGGCTTAGGAAATGGTTGAAATCACATCCTGCTGCCCTAACTCATAGCACATAGCTTTTTTGGAGAGACACCAGAGCACTCTTTGCTCACCTTGTAACAAAAAAGCTTCTTCTATAAGTTCAACTTCTCAGGCACCTCAGCCTTGGATTTCA